ATTATTCTGGGCGATTTTAATCTTCATATTGATTGGAATCATCTCCTTTCATTAAATCAGAATTCAACACATAAGATGAATTTCTTTACTAATTACGGCTATGTACAATATGTTCGTGATCCACCCATGGTAACCGTCTTCTTGATCTAATTTTTTCTTCAAGTGAAAATGTAATGAATGTCAGAATATTCCCTCCTCTCGCTACTTCAGACCATAACATTATTGAATTTTATGTCAAAGGCAACTATTTTTCAGAGACATTCTATCCTACACCCGACTTTTGCAAATTTGACTACCATGGCCTTAATAACTACTTTTTCAATGTAAATTGGAACTCTCTATTTGAAAATCACCACTCCGTAGATGAAGTTTATCAAAGATTTTGTGCTAGAGTCTATGTAGGACTTGGCAGATTTGGTCGTTTAAGAACTCCTACGAATACGGGTTTCCGTTACCCGGGCCAAATCATCAATCTCAAATGCACTCCTAGACCAGAAGCAAAATCTATTTCAAACCTTGCAAAACCCTTTGTCGAGTACACTGTACAAAAAAATTTGTTCAGATTTAGACTTTCACCTCAAAAAATTCCTAGCCAACTACGAAAGACGACTGTTTTCTAAACTCAATGTTAGAAGTTTCTTCGAATACCTACGTAATAAATTGCAAAAAAATCGATGTTCTTCAATTTTTGGATATGTTCGGAAAGAACTGTGTCAGTATTAGGGAGAGAGCAGAAGCATTGGGGAAATATTTCGCCAGTGTGTTTACAAGTTTTAGTGTTACTTATCCATTATCTACTCGATCTGATGCCCAGCATACTCTTGGTTTTGTACAATTTTATGAGTCTGAAGTCCGTCTCATTCTAAAATCTCTCAAGTTCTCTTGCACGGAGCCTTACGACGGCATCCCACCGATCATTTACAAAAAATGCGCTGACGTTCTTTCGCAGCCTCTTACTGACCTATTTAATCTTTCCATGTACTTTTGTAAGGTACCCTCCCTTTGGAAAAAAGCCATGATTACACCTGTTCCAAAAATTGGCAGTGCTACTAGGGTCTCTGATTTTCGTCCCATAAGTCTTACTTTAACCCCAATAAAAGTGATGGAGAAGATTATAAAAAATAAGCTAGTTTCTTGGATCAAAAAACATTATGGAATACCAGCTCTAGTACACGGATTCATCTCGAATAGATCTACTACCACAAACCTTGTAAAAAGTATTTTTGATTGGAGAGTAGCATAAACTCTGGAAAGTCAATCGATATTATGTATGTTGATCTTTCCAAAGCCTTTGACAAAGTTCCGCATGACGTTTTGATATCAAAGCTGCAAAGATTTGGAATATCTGGTAATCTTCTGTGCTGGTTCCGATCTTATCTACAAGACAGGGTCATGACGGTTAGAGTGGGTCAATCTTTCTCTGTTGAGTATAAGTGCACTAGTGGGGTTCCACAAGGTGGCGTACTTTCCCCATTACTGTTCCTTATATTTACCATAGAGTTAATGAAATAAAATATTTACCATAGAATTAATCACAAACAATTAATGGCTACATCGTCATTATGGAGCTTCGGAAATTGTCTTGTTTAGTTTTGTCTCCCATTTATATCTCTTCTTCCTTCTGTGACTGAGGATTGGCTGGTTCTTTGTTTTAATTCTGTGTTAACTTTGATTTTCTGTTCGATTTCGATTTTTTAAATGGTGCACCGCGAATGTATGCATAAAATAAAAATAAAATAAAAATAAAAATCGTGTCTCGGCCCCAAAAAATCTTGAAAATTCTCCATTTATCCTAGCATATGCTTGACACATCAAACATTCAATTGTACATTCTTGTATTCCATGGCTAAAGATAAAGAAAAAATGAATGGAGTAAAATGGCGATCTCCGCCCTTAGAAATCCTGAGCTCCCACACACTGATAATATAGCTCACATAGAAGCACGATCATGTACAGGGTGTCCCAAAAAAATGTGAACACTGTTTGATCTTTAATAACTCTGTTGTTTTCATGTCTTTCGCGAGCTTGAGGCACCATTCTGTAGGGCGTGGTCCAACTTAGATCGGAGTGTGGAGCGAATCTTCGATTGCTCTTCGTTACTGTAGGATTACGGTAGGAACTTTCACAAGGATTTTAGGCCATTAGAGGCCATATTCTCCTCGGAACAAAACCAAACAAGTCAAAAACTCTTATACTATGGTAATGGAAGTTGCTGATTTCTAATATGAATTTTGCACTTTACTGTGATGCTTCTTTCCAAGGTTGTTCCAGGTAAATCGTAATAACTGAATTTAGAGCATTTGTCGGAAAGTGATTACACCGTCAAAAAAGCCGAAAACACTCGTAAAAAGTTGTGTAATGGATTTAACGTGCAAGAAAACCCTAGTACACGATTTTTCAGATTTTCTGAAAAAAAATTTGTCACATGGCATATTTCACAATATGTCCATATGCTAGAAGTTCATACCGTAATCCTACAGTAACGAACAGCGACTGGTGATTCGCTCCATACTACAAATCTAAGTTCGACCTCGCTCTACAGATTGGTGCCTCAAGCTCGGCGAAAGACATGAAAACAACGGAGTTATTAACGATCAAACAGTGTTCACATTTTTTTGGGACACCCTGTATTTGTACCCTTCGTAGGTGCCCAAATTCTCAAAATAAGGTGCTAATGTTTAAAGTAAAAACGGTAAAAAAATTATGAGACACTCTAATAGTCTCGAATTCCTATATATCATCTCACAGCACCCTTCAATGGACCGGTGCGCTAATCTGAGTAGTATCCAAGGCAGCCGTCATTCTGTGCCGAAGTACTTGCTTGATCATTACTCATGAAGCCAAGATTTGAAACAATGATCTTCCTCAAATTTCCATTTTCAACAACACCGTTGTAGGAGCAGGATTTTAAGTTCATAATGTCACCCATGACTTTTTCCACCATAAATTGTACACTCAAATTATTCGAATAATATTCGAAAATCGAATAACAAGTCGAATAATATTGGGTCTTTGGGAATTTGAAAGTCGAATATTTGAAAATGATTTTCGGAATAGTCGAGTACTCGAAATTTTCGTTCTTCGAATATTATTCGCTATTCGAGTACTCGAAACAATTTTCGTACATTACAAAGTAAGCGTATAGACTGAGTTTTTGTTCAAACAGTCTGAAGTAACTTACCTAAGGTTAAAAATGTCAAGCTAGGCCCAGTTACTTAGATAATGACGGTTGACGAAACGGCACTTTAGTTTACTGTTACGTACTTGTTCAACCGTCAAGATGCAAAAAGGAATCTATAACTGGCGAGGGTCCTTGTGACGTTTATGATGATACCTATGAAAGCCACTATAAAATTCTCCACATGAAGCGAAATATCAGATTGTTGAGCATTGCTGTCTTTCCCGTGTAATGATGAGTTCGCTCGAACAAGGTGGACTTGTGGAATATCAGTAGAAAATTATAATGTGCTGGTATCAAACAGCGGGATAGGTCAATGAGTAAGTTTCGTATGACTTTTCTCATTCCAACTCATCGAAACTCGTGGCACCCTTCAAGAATAGAAAATTTTATGTGTAAAATCATTTCCCTTTTTTTCACCCAAACGCCCTTAAAAAATGGTTGAACATAAGTCTATTTTGCAGTAATAGAGCTCAACAGTTAGGAAGAGCTCTGCAATTGGCGTTCCAAGCTGATTCTAATACATGTGTTTCATCTGGAAAAGCGAATCTAAACTGGTATCTTCCTTATTTACAATTAAGGAAGATACCAGTTCATACAAATTCAACTATCGTCGAATCGTTGATAGCACGAATTGCACAAACGTTGCGGGCCATGCGCGCCACGGTTGAAATGTTGCGGGAGCACGACTTGTATACTGGCAAGTTTGTACTCGGGCAAGTGTTTTACCTCGCAGTGCGTGCTCCGCAGTGATGTGTAGGTCATTCATAAAAACGTGGCGACGGATATGGCTACGGTCTTTGCGCCCACAGGAGTATGAAACACCCGTACTAAAAGACATCACCTCAACGCTCAGCCAGTCACTTCCAGTGTGTAAATCTCTCATACGGAAGAAGAAAAATCATTCAGATAGGAAACCAAGAAGACGCTATTGCCGAAAATGCGTGCGCATCGCGCGCGGTTCGGGCTATCGTCACGATTTGTCGAATGTCCTACAGTCCTTGTCTCGAATCGACGATGCGCTGCCAACGTGTTAACACCTTGACGACGAGCACAGGGTAAAACAGTTCTAATTCCTGCTAATCGAAAACTTAGTGTGTGAGAAAGCGCACGCTAACCAGTTCTTTGGTTTCCTTTGATTCTTTACATTAGGTACAAGTACTTGTGGAAATGTAATCAAATTTTCCATGACGGATGCCACCAAATCTCGGCATCGTGTGTGTATAACTTCGAGTTTGTTTTCTGAGCCGTAAATCAAGATTGTCAATGATCTGGTTACAATGTTTGTGGACTGCCTGGGCACTGAAAAACGCGATGACGCTGAAGCGTCAGCCCGATAAAAGGTCTTTCTCAATCTCGTCTTACGGCTCAGGAAACAACCTCAATGTTGTAGATAAACTGTAACCTCATTTTGGTTGAGCATTGAAGCAACATTATGAAATAGCTTCTAGAAATATTGAATCCATATGCTACGGTCTCTGGACAGGCCACCTTGCTTGCAAAGTAGATCATTCCTGGCAATCGAATAATGTTACTGAAATTATTAGCACCCTCAGTATGCCTTTTATAATTCCTCTTAGTTTTTCTGGGCCCAAGTGCCTTCGCAATTTGTATAATTTAGAAATGACGAGATGCACACAATTTCAAAAGTGCAGGGGATGCGTTTGATTAACACAAAGGGAAGACAATGACACAGTTGTGAAATTAATAGGTGGCTGATAAAGCCATGCATAACGCGCATGTTAATAAAATGTTACGTCAAGGTTTAGCGGTATAAAATGCAGCGTTGATGTTAAAAACATCACTCGACGTTTAATCAACGATGACAGTTGCCTTTGGATCAGTTGTTTGTGTAAGTTAGTTTTCTCAAGACTAGGACCTTTACATGAATTCATTCAAGGTTATTTTCCTTGTCCACACTTCTGAAGGATTACTAGAGCTGCCGCCCTGCAATGATGAACTAGGACAATTTGATGAATTGAAACGCAGAGAGCTGGTCGCTGGGGTTGAAACTGCTGTGGCATTTATCAGCGTAAGCTCAATCGTTGCAACTTCCGCAGCTGCTGACAAGCACTATTTTTTACAGCCATCGTATCGTTGTAAATGGCAAAAGCTAGCATATCTTTACCTCGCCTCTAACGGCGGACAAACTTACAAGAGACTTGCCAGTGCGCTAACCCCGGCTAACCTGGTAGAATAGAATTATGAAAGCGCGCATGTATGTGATTTCATAATTTACTCAGGTTTTGAAACCAATCAACTTTACTGTAACGAAACTCAGTGCAGAAAAAGTTTCTGACATACTGCAACCCCTTGCTGTTGATAATGAGGTAAGAGTCATGCTTTGCTTAACATTTGTGAAAGCTCGTCGTGCAGCTCAATCTTTTACCACATGGTTATTGCCTCTGTAACGCGTAAGTCAGAGTCAACTTTTTGTATTCATCGACGTTTCTCAGGTGACCTATCCCAGCGAGTTTGGCTGCTATCTCGATAGGACCAGGGCAGTCTGTGTGTTCCTACAAGACCCTCGCTTTTCACTCAATCTTCTATAAAGTGGAAGCTGCCTTTACGTAAACTCACAAAGGAAGCTTGTTTAGTCAAAATGCGCCTTTTAGATGGGATGTATACCATATTGAAGGGCATAAAACGCTATCCCCAAATCTGCCTTCCTTATCCGTATCACGTTTGTGGACAAGGATGAGCCTTATTTGGAGCAAAAAATTGGCTGTGCATTTCGGATAAAATGAGTTGCTAAAATCTTACTAGCCCTCAATCAATGCGTATATTTTTTATTTTGGAGCATTTTTTAATAAAGTGCGCTGATGATTATCAATGCTCCATTGAAGAGCTAGAAAAACGATTACGGTCATTTTTGATTTACTTACACCTCAATTTTTTGCTTTAGTAAGCGCTCATAACTCTTCGTCCATAAACGTTCTGCAGATAAGGAAGGCAGATTTGGATGGTATAAAACCCATCCAAAAAGGCCACTTCGATTAAACATGCTTCCCTGTGAGACTGCAAAATGTCGTCTGTAAATTTACTTCAACTTTTCTTTCATTAAGATATGGTATAGCTTAATTGTAAAGATACAGTGGTTTTCTTTGCAAATTCTGAATAAATAATGAAAGAGAGCTGTCGTAGCAAGAAAGATGACAATAGCAGACCTCTATGTTCACGTAAGTGACGTCTTCATAAACCGCAATGGTCCGAAATGAACTTTTCACGTACATTTCAATTTGATGAAAAACCTCCATGTATTATGTCGCAGTAGAACAGTTGCATTCACACTGTGTAAAATCTAATCCAGCACAGTTGGCAAACTAAGTCGGATCAGATATCTGGCAGAAGTGATACACGCAATGTGTTTCAATAATGTATGAAGAGGCATGATCAGGCAATTAAATGGTATATTGTAAGTAATGAGAGCTGCTCCTTATGCAACAGCAGCAGCGTGAATGTTCTAAGCACAAGTCGGCTTTTTGAAATGACCAGCAGTTCCGTACAGCAAGGATAGACAGAGTATCAAAGCAGTATCCGATGCAAAAATTCTTCCTCTTTTCAGCTGCACCCTCAGCGTAATTCGCTAAGATAATGCTGAGATAATCGCTGGAAACTTAAGCCATTTGTTTTCACGATGTCCAAATACTACTAATTTTCATAATTTTTATTTGAAACTTTAGAAAAAGCTTTGATAGCCAGCATGTGGGGCACAACTTCTGCCAATTTTGCCAATTTGGGTGGTGGTCAAGAATAACGATAGCTCTGCTAGCCGCTCGCGAGCGCAGATCAGCTCGCCATTTCTTTTTCAAAGAGCAGATGGCTGAATCCCATTTGCTTTCGTTAAATTTATTTTTCTACATTGGTCATTAAGGCTCACACATTTGACATGATGAATCAAGTTCAAATGATAACTACCATGTGTTTAACATTGATGTAGTTGCTGTTTATTTCCATCTAATTGCTAATTGTTTCCATCTAAAAAGATATCAGAAACGATAGCATGAAGCAAAGATAAGAAAAACAGTGTTTGGGCATATAATATTACATACTGCACTGCCTCCGTGCTCCTCTGTGGCTAAGCGGTGCTACCTGTGTACCGCTTATCAGCTATCGTTGTTCTCGACATATACTCAAGCAATTTCTGTAGCCTTGTGGCCATAGCTGTAAAAGGGGGAGCAATGGATCCTACCCCCTCAGATTCAGCCAGAACTCGGATGACCCCCATTTGAGGCTGAATTGGGAAGATAATTTGAGAGTGAGTCATGATAAAAAGTGGAGATTTAGCACTTTAGTCGTGAAATACAACAACCAAGGAGATTGAATGCATTTTTCGTTAGCCAGAGCGATACAACAGATATATCAGCTAAATCAATCCCTCATATCTTAATGCTAAGAAGAGTTGGAATCCGACGGACTATGTCAACTCTCCGTAATCTAAGCTCTCGAACAAAATAGTTTGTTTGGGCTATTTGCTTCCTGGCTTCAAAAATCCATTGCTCCAGTGACGCATAAAAGCCAATACACTGAGGGAGAGAGGTGGAGTAAGCTAATAGTAAATATCTCCACCCCATTTTTAAAAACCGCCAAGTCTTTTCGATCCACAATCTATGTAACGTTTGAAAGCTTAGGAAACAGGGGCTCGACGTAGACCGTCGACTTTTTTCTAGCCCCACTGAAACGAGAGATACGCCGCACTTTATCTAAAATTATTTCCATTTTTGAGAGCAGATTCCTGCCAACGAAAACCTAGTTACCGCTGATTGTCTATCTAGATCACAAAGCAAGTCTTCGTCAATAAACGTAGGCCGTTGTCTCGTACTTTCATCTTGATGGCGATAAGAGAGCAGAAAGTGAACACAATAATTTAGTTAATATTGACCAGATGAATCGTTCATATATTTCGACGCAAAATACCTAAAAAAAAATTGACACTGTAATTCGATTCATGTCTCAGCTTCCAAATGTCGTGTAGATTGATAAGGCATTTCGCTTACATGGCTCATTACTCCCTTCACCCTATAAGACGGGAGTAGCCGAGAGACCCCTTCACCGGGAAAGGGCCCGGCTCTCCCTATTGCACCTATGCTTGTGGCTTGCGTTTCACAAATTTTGAAACATATTTTTGGAGTAACCATTTATATTCGGTTTATTCTGAGCTCGTAGAACATGAAATGGTAAACATTTCAGGTGCCATTCGATGCAGCCCTGTTTCTAACAGCAAACTTTTCTCGGCAAGACACGCGACTTGCGGGGGAGAAGTGCAGTATTTCTGAATTTCACGAGTGCACAGTTACGTACCCTAAGTTTCAAAATCATTTTATTTCAAAGCGAAAATCGCTCATTTAGTTCATAAGGTTGGTATTAAAAATCATCAACTGTTGGAGCCTCATTACTCTGAAGTTTTTGTAGTATTTGGTGCAATAATGGACTTTGCGATTTTTCTGAAATAAAAGACCATTCGAAAATCATTTGACAAATATTTGGAAGAGTAGCTGAGAAAAGAAGAGAAATTGCATTAGTTGGCAAAAGGTTTGCCCTACCTGATGGGTTATAAAAGCTTTCTCAAAAGTTTCATGAACCTTGAAGAATTGCGAAACCTGAACATGTTGAAAACAAAGAGTTGTACTTTTCAGCGATTATCTCAGCACTCTCCAAAAGAATCACTTTGGGAGTATTGCAGCTGCGAAAGGCAAAAGTTCTGGATCGAAAACAGCTTGATGTAAGAATAGCAAGCTCTTCGAAAACTGTCAGCACTGGTAGTAATTTGGTCGAAACCATCATTTCGATTAGATTTTCATAACACGAGATAACCAATGGGTTTACATCATCTTTTTAATGAAACCTAAAATTAACCGATTGGAAGAGATGGAGGTGGGCAAGTCTTTGTTCAATTTTAGATTTAACAAAGCGATGCCGTTGTAAGGGATTGAACTTCCATTCAACCTCATGCTTGACCGCTTTCATTGCACTGTACCAAATTAGCAGTTCGGTCTTCATTTTTACTTTTTCCCATAACCTTATCTAAGTGTAAACTGAAGAGCCTTCTCATATTAACCTTCGGAATGATTACCCTCACTCCTCTTAACGTGTAAATCACCCATCTTTGTTTCAAATGAAAAAGTGGTCAGGGTTCTTTTTCATTTAAGACGATGATATGATGTTGAATAAAATCCGACGGTTAATTAACCTTGGCATTATAATATGCGATTAGTTTTTGAATTCTTTAAGCTTACCAAGGTGGTATAGAACTCGATAAAATGGCGCTGACGCGTTTCGGCGATGTATCGCCTTCTTCAGAGCGCTGTAAGGAAAGTTAAGCCGCAACAATTGAAGACTCACGGCGGTCGCCACTGTCCACTATCCTGAGATAGCGGAATCGATTAAACTGACGTGACCCTCCTCCGTTGTCTATTTATAGTCCCCAAAACGCTGATAAGCTGTAAGATCACTTATCATGGCTATACTGTCATCCTTTCTATTCATTTGGGGAGAACGGGCGGAGATGTAGAAAGCTTCAAGGGTTTTACGCGCTAGAATTTCGGATTCTTGCACTAAAATTGATGCGGCAACTTCTATGGTGGTGTTTTGATGACATTCTATACGATGAGCCCCTAGTGGAGTGGGATTTTGGACTTTTGTAGACCATCCAGATGTTCTTTGACGCGAGAAATTAGTGGACGTCCTGTTTCTCCTATGTAAGTTGCCCCGCAAGCATTACATACTATTTGGTAGACAATGCCGGATACCATACAATCTCCCTGTTTACCATACGGACAAATTGGGCAAGCATTAGTCATGCAGAGACGATCATAAGAGCGATTGCGTACTAATTGCTGCTTGAGATTTGCTGGAGGTATTTCTACCACCCTTACCATATCTTGCAATCCTGCTTGAACTAAGCTTTTGCGAACCTCCCGACTTATTCTATCTGAAATAAAGGGTAGGCAGAACGAAATCTTTTGATCCTCGAAACTTGTCCGTCTAGCAGGAGAACGTCGGAATTTGTGGAAGTTTTGTAGAAGGTACCCATTACTTCGCTACACTGTTCGCCATTTCCAAAAAGTGGTTGCGTTCCTGGGGTCCAGATGAGACTTGCGATGCTGTTTTGTACATGTTTTTTATAACAGAATTCTTAACCCAGCGCGGATGTGCCGAAGTGTAGTGCACTAAGATATTTTTGCAACTAGGTTTGCGATACCATCTTGTCTTATATTCCCCATTAGCAATTCTCACCTGCACGTTCAAGAATGCAAGCCAGTCATCCTTGGGTCTCTCTCTTGTGAATTGGATTTGTGAGTACTGCCGATTCAAAAGATCAAAGCAAGTGTCCATTTCGCACTGAGTGGGGCATACTATCAAACAGTCGTCTATGTACCTACAATACAGAAGAGGTTTGCGTTCCATGATTGGCGCTTCAACTTTGGACATGAATATGACAGCCAATACTGGAGCTATTCTCTGTCCCATGGTCAGACCTCTAACCTGCTTGTAATAGTGCCCGACCATCGAAAAATGGAACATTGAAGACATTCGTTTACAAGGGTCAAGG